AGGTAAAGCATGTGTTACAAAACCTTGCTTTTTGTCATCAGTAGCACTGCTAATAGTGATCACATGAACCCTTGTCCTCAGTGTGGTGACTCACTAGACACACAGCACAGGGACAAGTAGAGCCTCCCTCCACCCCGGACATTCCTGCTCTTTGATATAGACCATATGAGTCAGAATGGTTTAAGTTACGCTTCAGTAACAAACCCTCAAATCTCAGTACCTTGACACACCAATATTTTTCTTCTGGATCACACAAAGTTCTCTGTGGACCTGAATGGCTCTCTAGGCAGGTGTCCGCTGTGCTTGGCCCTCCAGGCTCTGTTATCCTGCAGTGCTCCCATAGCGACCTGTGCTTCCATCATTGTTGCTGCAGGGGAGGAGGAAGCCATCAATTCCCACCTCCCCTTTCAAGTGCCTTCCCCCTGGAAGCAACTCAATCCCTTCCAATCCCATTTTATCGGGCAAAGCAGGTTCCATGTTTCTGTCTTACCCAAAAGCAGTGGGGATGGACAGTCCTGCCCATGCCTGGAAGGAAAGGATAGCTAGAAATATTAGCAAGAGCCATGAATGTTGACCCAATAGACATTTGGCCTTTCCTCCCCCTATTATAAATTGCTGCTACAAACGCAGCTTCAGCCCCAGCACCCTGTCCCATCAGGTGGCTGTCCGCAAGCCCCTGCTGCCGGAGATTCTGGACCTACCCTGGCCACAGATGGTCTTTGGAAATCACTGAGCCAGCTCTGTCTTAGACAAGGCAGAGAAAGCAAGTTGTGGGCGCTCGAATTGAGTCGTATCTTCTAGACTGGAGCCCTTACCTCCTTGCGGTCTTCATATCCAGTGATATTGGACAGTGGTGTGGAAATCGTGGATTCCTCAAGTTGGAGAGCACCCAGGGAACCCCCTCATCTTCCAGGTGTGGAAATGAGGCCCAGGTGGTGTGTGCTTTTTGGTTCCTTGTGCTTTATGGCTTTCACAAGGTACCTGCAGTTCATGATGAGCCATTGCTGGATCTGCCATTTGTGGTTATTGATCCTCCTCTGGTGCCTAAGCAGCCCGAGCTCAGTGACTTAGCCTGTCTGGTTTTCCATTCGAATTTTGGTTCCTTCTAATGCCCCAGCCCTTTATCTGCTGGTTCTTCAGAGCTGCCCACTAAGAAGGATCTTCATGATCCTTTTCTCTCCCATGTTTTTGTTGTTCATTTCCAGTCAGAGGGATAAGAAATGGGACATTTTAACAGCTGTCATTACAGGGAATAAACTTTTACTTTTTTAGAATGAGACCAAGAAAGTTCATCTCATTCTCCAACACTGCCTTCTCCCCACTTCCTAGAGTTTTCTGTTGTTGTTTTGATGAGACGCATATACAGTCCCGTCACTTAACGACGGGGATGCTTTCAGAGAAGTGTGTCGCTAGGCGATTTTGTCATTGTGTGAACATCATAGAGTGTATTACACAAACCTAGATGGCACAGCCTACTATACATCTAGCCTATTGCTCCCAGGCTACAGACTTATACAGCACATTACTGTACTGAATACAAGGCAATTGTACCACAATGATACGTATTTGTACATCTCAACGTATCTAAACATAGAAAAGGTCCCACCACCGTTCTATGGTAGGACCACCATCATATATGCAGTCTGTCATTGACTAAAGGGTCATTATGTGCTACATGCCTGTATAAGATATTTGGCTAGATGCAGTAAAATATTTTCCAATTTTGTACTTGTTTAGAATCCCAAAAGCTACGAGGTGGCACAGACACTCACTGGAATGGCTCTGAGACTGTTCCTTGCCCCTGAATTCGTGGGTTGTGGCCTCTCAGTCCCTCTGGACCATTTTGGTTGGTTCTAACTTTTGAGGCACTGTGCAGCTTTTCGGACTGGAGGAGAATCATCTGGACCACGTACTAAGAATGCAGATTCCTGAACCAGGCACCGAAGATTCTTATCCAGTGGGTCTGGGCTGGACCCCAGGAGTCTGCATTTTAACAAGCATCCCAGGTGATAGAGAGCCCTGTTTTCTTTTTCTTTTTTGAGCTGGAGTCTCATGCTGTCACCCAGGCTGGAGTACAGGGGCATGATCTCAGCTAACTGCAACCTCTGCCTCCCGAGTTCAAGCGATTATCCTGCCTCAGCCTCCCAAATAGCTGGGATTACAGGCACCTGCCACCATGCCCAGCTAATTTTTTTTTTTTGAGACAGAGTTTTTCTCTTTTTGCCCAGCTGAGATGGTACAATGGCACCATCTCGGCTCACTGCAACCTCCACCTCCCGGGTTCAAGTGATTCTCCTGCCTCAGCCTCCTGAGTAGCTGGGATTGCAGGTGCACGCCACCCTGCCTGGCTAATTTTGTATTTTTAGTAGAGAGGGCGTTTCACCATCTTGGCCTGGCTGGTCTTGAATTCCTGACCTCAGGTGATCTGCCCACCTCAGCCTCCCAAAGTGCTGGGATTACAGGCATGAGCCACTATGCCCAGCAGAGAGCAGTGTTTTCTAGGGTTCCTTATAGATTCCAAAGACCGTCATGCCAGGGTATGGCAGAGCTACAGGGGAGGTGTCTCGCCCTCAGCCAGAGCTCTGCTTCAAGCTACTCTATAAATGAGGCTTCAGCCTAAGGTTTGTCTTGCTGATAAAAATAAGTAACATGGAGTAAAATTGTTGGGACCTACAGAGCTTCTGCTCTTCAAATCCGAGGCTAATGGGTCTCAGCAGAGGCGTCTGTGCCTGTTTTCTACCAGGTACCTTAGACCCAGAAGCAAGGGAGATGTTTTACTGCCCTTCACAGCTTTCACAGCTCTATTTGGACTGTGCCTTGTGAGTGAAACGGCTTTTCTCCTGGACCCTAACAGAGGGCTGTTCAAGGTCAGGGAACTTGAATTTCCACTTTGGCAGTCAGCAGCGGCCCTTACCTGTTCCCCTTCAGTAGACAAGCTGCTCCCTCAGCGCTTACCTCCTGCAGCTTCCAATGTCTCCATGCTTGACGATTTTTGTCCCCTACATCGGAAGGCACGAGTGTTTTTGGGGCCTCAAGTTTGAATCTAAATGGAAGGGATAAAGGTGACTGTCTTTGCGTCACTGATACTCACAGTGCTGACACCCAAGGCTGCTGATTACGGTAAAGAATGGAGGAACAAGGGCAGATGTGTTCAATTGTGTATAAATGGTATTTTTCCTGTGAAATCTCAATACGGCCCGGAGGACACTGCAGTTTGGGTCTCCGAGCCACTCTCCTCTGATATTTACTCATTGGGGATTTTATTCTTGAGAAATCACTGTGGCAATGGAACCATTTTGCCTCCATGAAGACGATGTCAACGTCTCAAAATCCAGGATGTTTTAAGGCAGAATTCCAACCTCATTACTGCCAGGAATAAAATTCATCCAAGGTGGAGGCGTCCTTTTTTAGAACTCAAATCCGTCTCAGAATGCCTTTTCTTTCCCCTTTGTTTTTGAAGCCAATTACTTTTTTTTTTTTTTTAGGTAAAAAAAAAAAACTGTGCAAATGCACAAAACTCTCTTTTTTCCCCCTTTCATTTATTTGAAATTGAACTTAACAAAGTCAGTTCCGAGCAAGCACTATATATGAGTAATGCTTTTTGTCCATAAAAGAGCATTGACTCCAGTGGAATGGGAGTGCTGATTCTCGCTCCGCTTTGTGTGAGCGTCCATAATGACAAAGTACTCATGTCAGAGTGTATAATGAAACTATAAATTGTTTTCATGAATGCTCTGAATTTGGTCTTTTACAGGGCAAATTCAAAAGGTATTTAGTGCCACATTTCACATATGTGAATAACACCAGACGGTGCAATATATCCAATAAAAAGTGAAGAGTCCTATTCAGGCCCACACTAGCCAGTATGGTGGGTCAGGCTTAGGCGTGGGTGGTTCACGGCACAGGAGAGTGAGCAGAAGGAAGGATGGAGAAATCTTGTCACTCTGAGGCAAGGGTTCCAACTGAGTGTACTCAACTGCTTTGGGAGAATTCAAAATGTGGCTAAAATACTTCGCTCTTAAGATTAGTCTCTAGATCAGGGGAGTGCCTCCATTTGAATCACAGGAAAAGTTAAACACATCAGGAGCCCGTTACTGGACAAATTTGCAAGTGAGAAAATACCTGCTAAGTTTGGTGGGCAGGTGCAATCTATGGCAGTAATTTATGGTTCAATTATTTTTAATAATTTTAGGGAGCTTTTTTTTTTTTTTTTTAACAATAAAAACCATATGGGCCAGGCATGGTGGCTCATGGCTGTAATCCCAGTACTTTGTGAGGCCGAAGTGGACAGATCACCTTAGGTCAGGAATTTGAGACCAGCTTGGCCAACAGAGCCTGGCCATCTCTACTAAAAGTACAAAAATTAGTCGGGCATGGTGGTTCGCGTCTGTAATCCCAGCTACTTAGAAGGCTGAGGCGGGAGAATCGCTTGAAGACTGGGAGGTGGAGGTTGCAGTGAGCTGAGATCACACCACTGCACTCCAGCCTGAATGACAGAACAAGACTCCACTTCAAAAAACAAACAAAAAACTATATGGATTTACTCTGGAAACAGAAAACACAGAAAAATATCAAGAAAAATTTTAAAACCTGGGTAAATAATTTTACTACCAAGAAATTATTGTTAGCAATGTTTTAATAAAATTTTTATTGAGTATCTTAGTAAAAGCTTACATAATCTTATTTGGGTATATAAGTCATTTTTAAACAAAATTGGGGTCCAGCTGTCTACCTGTTGATACATTTATGCAACTTTTTGAAACGTTCTGCTTTCTAATTTATTTGTCCAAGGTTTAGGTTCAGTCATGAGGGTGCCGCATGTTAGCACTGTAGAAGCCTTTACGTACACATGTCATTTGCTGAAAAATGTCTCTCTGGGCATGTGAGCTCTAAAAATGAGAATGACAAAAACTCCCCGGAGGGTGTGTGAAGCACAACGTGTGTTAAATGGAGGCCCGTGGATATTTTTGACCCCTTCCCTGGATTTTTTTGCTTTGCAGTACCTGGTGTGTAAGAGGAAGTTGGAGAGTAAGAAGGAAGCCCTGCTGATCCTCTCCAAGGAGCTGGACACCTGTCAGCAGGAGAGGGACCAGTACAAACTCATGGCCAATCAGCTCCGGGAGCGCCACCAGTCACTGAAGAAGAAGTACCGAGAACTGATTGTAGGTGTTAGGCTGCCCTGTTCGGAGACCTTCCTATACCCCAAATTATAATATAAAGAGATTTTCGCATGCTGTTTCTTTAGAAATGGTTAAATGCAAACAGATGAAAGTGGAAAAGTTTAGAAGTGAAAGTCACCACCTCTATTTCCTTTACAACCCAATCCCATTCACAAGTTAATCTCTCTCTCTCTCTCTCTCTCTCTCTCTCGTGTGTGTGTGTGCGTGTGCTTCTTGCTCTGCCATCTGTGAATCCATACATGTGTGTTTGCACTCCCCACTTATCCAAGGGAGACATGTTTCAAGACCCCCAGTGGATGCCTGAAACCGCAGATAGTACAAAACCCCATATATACTGTTGTTTTTTTAATCTGATAGCCAAACCAGCTCCTAAGTGACTAGCAAGTGGGCCACACAGACATCGTGGATACCCTGGATAAAGGGGCGATTCACATCCCAGGTGGGATGGAGGGAAATGGTGCAAGATTTTATCACACAACTCAGAACAGCATACAATTTAAAATTTAGAAATTATTTATTTTTGAAATTTTCTATTTAACATGTTTGGACCACAGTTGACTTCAGGTACCTGCAACTGAGGATAAATAGGGACTACTGTACGTGTGGCTGTTTACTTGTTAATTACATAGAGTTCTTTAAAAAGAGGATTCTAAGTCTGCAGTAATACAGAGGCCAGTAGCTACAGCTGGCTGCTTAATTTTAAATTAATCAGAATTCAGTAAAATAAGAGACTTCATTCTTCCATCTCAATGTCATATTTCATGGGCTCAGGTGACTGATGGCTACTGTATTGGACAGTGTGGATAGAGAACACTGCCATCATTGCAGAGAGCTCTATTAGGCCAAATGCAGTGACACACCTGTAATCCCAACTACATTGAGAGGCTGAGACGAGGGGATTGCTTGAGCCCAGGAGTTTGAGACCAAGCTGAGCAATGTAGAACCCCTCTCAAAAAAAAAAATTTAAAAGTTCATGGAAAAATAAAATATTTGATTATTTTTTAAAATAAAAATAATCAAACATGCTGTTTTCCCTCAGCACTTTATTTTGGACGTGTTTCTAGGTATACAGATCCAACTCATCCAGATTTGAATCATCCAGATTTCTAGGCATGCAGATTGAACTCAGTCTTTTAATAGCTGCATGGTAATCCACAGTATGGACATATCCATAATTTTTGTAATCTTTCTTGTATCCTGGACTTTTGTTTTTCTCTAGGTTTTTATATGGCAAAACTTTTAAGATGCAAATGATACTGAAATGGAGAATGCCAATTGCATAATCCTAGTTTTCATTCTTGCTGCTTTTCAGGCAATCTCTTTTTTAAGTGGGACACCATTACTGACGTATAACTATCTGTGCCGGCATTGTTAAACTGCCCTGGAGTAGAAATAGAATAGAATAGATTCCTCAGGTTAAAATCATATTGACTTATGTGTGGACAGCATCAGTTATAAGAGTGCTCATTTAGTGAGCATTTGCTTATTTACCTGAGATATTGGTATTCCCAGATGTGGCACAAATGGGAGAGGAATTGAATCTTTTTTTTTTTTTTTTTTTTTTTTTGAGACAGTGTCTCCCTCTGTTGCCCAGGCTGGAGTGCAGTGGTATGAGCACTCGCTGCAACCTCTGCCTCCTGCGTTCAAGTGATTCTCCTGCCTCAGCCTCCCTAGTAGCTGGGATTACAGGCACCTGCCAGCATGCCTGGCTAATTTTTGTATTTTTTTTAGTGGAGATGAATTTCAGCATTTTGGCCCAGCTAGTCTCAAACTCCTGACCTCAGGTGATCTGCCTGCCTCAGCTTCCCAAATTACAGAGATTACAGGTGTGAACCACCACACCTGGCCTGAATCCTTTTAAGGCAAAACCAAACCAAACCAAACCTAATAGGACTAGAAGTTCTCAATGTCCTCTTAACTTTGAGAAATCTCCCTCTCTCTCTCTCTCTCTCTCTCTCTTTCTGTGTGTGTATCTATCTGTGTGTATGTGTGTCCCTATCACTGTTCCTTTGGTTCTAACTATTTAAAAGAGGAACTCAAACCAAATGAAATATTATTTCAGCTTACACTCTAATCAAAAATAATTTTGACAAATCCAGTTTTTTTTATTCACATAATTTTAGAAAATATATAGATTTGGTCCTAATGGGAACTGATTCCCTAGAAGTTTTTCCAAAATAACTCTGGTTAAGTTTGTAGTTAATTTTTTTAAAGTATATTTGAGCTTGCTTCAGCACATTACTGGCTGCAGGGTGGAGAGAGTGGGGAAAGTCTACATTTATGTTCATAATATAGTCAATTTTTTAATTCTAAGAACATCTGTTTTTTTAAAAAGAGTAAAATGCAGCATTTGTTTCTTTGTAGGATGGCGATCCATCACTTCCTCCTGAAAAAAGGAAACAGGTAAGACTTATTTCTGATCTCAGATTGTTTTATTGCAACAATTGGGAGGATCAGGGAATCTCGAAATGTAGAGAATCTCCTTTAATTTCCTGGAATTCTTTCTGTTATTGGGAGGAGTGGGTAGAGATTTCAACTGCAGAGAGAAATTGGGAGTGGAGTGAAGGAAACTCAGTGAAGTCTGGATGGAGGAGGTACACCAGTTCACTGTATTCCCTTTCTTGTTGGAATTGTGATGGGAAATAGAGTTGAGGGCACATGGTCACAGCACTTGAGCTACCAGCCATTCAGTGGGCACATGCTGTGGGCATATACCATTTGGTGGGTGCCTACTGTTCAGTGGGTACATACTGTTGAGTGGGTGGGTGCACACCATTCAGTGGACACATACCATTTGGTGGGTGTATACCATTCTGTGGCTGTATACTGTTCTATGGGTTCATACCATTTGGTGGGTACATACTGTTTTGTGGGTGCATACCGTTCTGTGGATGCTTTCTGTTCAGTAGGCACATACCATTCAGTGGGTACATACCATTTTATGGGTACCTACCATTCTATGGGTGCATACCATTTGGAGGGTGCATGCTGTTTTATGGGTGCATATTGTTCAGTGGGTACATGCCATTCTGCGGGTGCATACTGTTAAGTGGGTACATATAGTTCAGTAGGTGCATACCATTCAGTGAGTGCCTGCTGTTCAGTGGGTGCATACCATTCAGTAGATGCATGCTGTTCAGTGGGTGCATACCATTCAGTGGACACATGCTGTTCAGTGGGTGCACACCATTTAGTAGGTGCATGCTGTTCATTGGGTGTATACCATTTGGTGGTTGCATATTGTTCAGTGGGTGCATACCATTCTGTGGGTGCATACCGTTCTGTGGGTGCATACTGTTCAGCGGATGCATATGGCTCAGTAGGTGCATACCATTCAGTGGGTACATGTTGTTCTGTGGGTGCCTGCTCTTCTGTGGGTGCATACTGTTGAGTGGATGCATATGGCTCAGTAGGTGCATACCATTCAGTAGGTATGTGTCATTCTGTGGGTGCCTGCTGTTCTGTGGGTACATGCTGTTCTGTGGGTGCATACCATTTGGTAGATGCATACTGTTCAGCGGGTGATACCATTTGGTGGGTAAATACCATTCTGTGGGGACATAATGTTTAGTGGGTGTCACATTCTGTAGATACATAACATTTGGTTGGAGCATGCCATTCTGTGGGTGCGTACTATTCTGTTTAACAGGTTTTGCCACTTCACATTCTTAAAAGCCATCTTCCGTCACAATTCACATGCCTTTGCTTTCTTTTTTCCTGCATGGTGGCCAACACTCTTTATTGGCCAAATCAATGGCTTTAGATGCACATTTTTATCATCAAATCCTTATGTGGATCTGCCTCTTGACTCTCTGTTCTGTTCCTTTGAGCTTCCTGAAAAGTCCTGTGGTTCTACCACATTATTCTTATTGTTTTGCTTTATAATACTTTATCTTCTTGAGCTAATCTCCTTCACTTTGCTCTCCCTTTTCAGAAGTTTCTTATTTGTTACTTTTCTCAGATAAAACCTAGAAACATTTTATTGAGTTCTCCTCTGATCTCTCCCACACAAATCCTGTTGGTATTTTGATTGGGGTTTTGTTAAATTTATAGATTAATTTGGTGTCTCTCTCATAGATAGATACATTCTGTGGCTTTATAATTTAAAAAATTTACATTGACTAAGGAGAATCTGATGAATTCCAGTGAGTCTGTTAAGCCGCATTTTTACAGCTCTAAAAATACAAGTTCAATGACCTAAACATTGGCTTTGTAGCATTTACAATGGTATTAAGTTTCTGTCCCTTTAGGATTGAGACTGTGGTGGTGGGAGCTTGGGCTCTGCAGCCTTTCTGCCTGGATTGGAACCACTGAGTCACTCTCTCTTATACATGTATTTATGAGAGAGAGTGAGAGAGCAAGCTATTTTCATATATACCTTTGTTAGAACTTTCCTTAACTTTATAATTTTCTGTACTAACATGCCCTAAATGAAGGCTTTTTATGGACTTGAAGGGAGTCCAGATGATGGTGATGTTAATGCTGTGTGTTTCCCATTATAGGGAAGCCTCTGTGCCTGAGCAGGACTTTGAAATGGGTGGATGCAGAGAGCGACCCCAGAGCGATTTGCTCTTCTCCCAGCTGTAATGGCTAACCCAGCATCCTACTTCTGTTCATTGATGGTGTACCAGAACCACGTGTAAATTCCTTGATTCTTTAGGGCCATTACCTTGAGATTTTTTTTATGCTTGTGAACAGTATACCCAACACACTCACATTTATCCTCAGAGAGCAACTCAGTCCTATGGGTACCCATTCATTCATTCATTCATTCAGTGTGCTTACTTATACATTCCCTTCCTATCTTGCAGGGTTATTTTATAATGCTCCAGGTTTGATCTAAAGTCACATTTTTCTGTGGTGCACATTCACGTTTTTTTCTAAATAAAATGTAGAAATTTATCTTTAATGTTTTAAAATTGGAGTTCTTAATTCTGAATTGCCAGGTGTTTTGGGTTTTGTGGCTTCAGTGGTTATAAGCAGCACTTTTGCTGTTATTTTAGAGTTTGTTAGTATTCATGAAGGAGTTTTAGGGAATTCACATTCTACAACTTTATAATAAAAAATTTATGTCGTCTGAGGAGAGTCTGATGAATCCCAGTAAGTCTGTTAAGCTGCATTCTTACAGCTCTAAAAATACAAGTTCAATGCCCTAAACACTGGCTTTGTAGCTTTTCATATGGCATTAAGTTTCTGTCCCTTTAGGATTGAGTGTAGTGGTGGGAGCTTGGGCTCTGCAGCCCTCCTGTCTGGGCTGAAACCAGTGATTGCTGCACAAGATAGGATGCTTCAGAGTGCAAGCGACAGCAATTCTAAACTGCTTGAACAATAAACGAATTAATTACCTTACATAGCCAGAAGTTCAGAGGTAATGTGGGCTTTAGGTACTTGATGGTCTATGGCTTCATGAAGTTGTCAAGTACTCATTCTCTCCACTGTGCCAAATTTAGCAAGTGAAAATACAGGGCACCCAGGTACATTTGAATTTCAGATAGGAATGTAGAAAATTGTATTCTTTTTAAATGCAAAAGTGTGTTCCATGTGATTTTGGGGATAAGCTTATACTAAAGTATTATTCATTGTTTATCTAAAATTCAAATTTAACTGGACATTCTGTATTTTACCTGACAACTCCACCATTTTGCCAACTTTAGCACATCAACTTCCTCTTACATTTAGTATCAGCCTCTTTCTATGGCTGGTTCCCCCCAGGAGAGGCAGAAAATGCAGCCATGGAAAAAACGTTCTCCTCTCCAGTTTGGCTGGGCTGGTGTAAGACTTGCTCCCATTCCTGGTCTAAAAACATGCACCAGGGGGCCGCTATACTTTCATTGGCATTGATTTGTCACTTGGGATGGAAGGGCTGTTAGGAGTTAACAATGAAGCCCACTAAACTAATTGAGAGGCCTTAGGAAGGCTCCTTTGAGTGTCTTCAGTCTCAACTTTCTCATCCATAAAATGGGGATAAATATGGCATCCACTGCATGGTGCGGCTGTCAGGATCAAATGAAACAATGTGAGTAGAGCCCTCAGCACAGTGCCTGGTGCAAGGTGAGCATCCATCAGCGTTTCTCACCTGCTGCTCCTCGTTGTCATCTCTTTTTTAAACAATTGTATGTTAGTAGGTTGATTCTGTCCAGCACAGCTCTTGGCTGTCAACAGGACACACTGCCACTGATGGGACCCTTTTAGTTGCAGTTGGCGCTCAAAGTAGCTTGCTCCATGGAGGAGGCTCCAGCTCATAGATTGTTCTGTTTTTTTTTTTTTTTTTTTTTTTGAGACGGAGTTTCACTCATGTTACCCAGGCTGGAGTGCAATGGCGCGATCTCGGCTCACCGCAACCTCCGCCTCCTGGGTTCAGGCAATTCTCCTGCCTCAGCCTCCTGAGTAGCTGGGACTACAAGCACGCACCACCATGCCCAGCTAATTTTTTGTAGTTTTAGTAGAGGCGGGGTTTCACCATGTTGACCAGGATGGTCTCGATCTCTTGACCTCGTGATCCACCCGCCTCGGCCTCCCAAAGTGCTGGGATTACAGGCTTGAGCCACCGCGCCCGGCTATAGATTATGGGAAGAATCGGTTGAGCAGCCTCCATGGGCAACAGAAGTGCAGCTGGGCCCCAGGAATAGCCACAGTAGGGCCCAGAAGCCCACGCCTCTCCTGAGCTCTCATCTCCTTTTCTGCACGTGCATCCTCCTCAGAAGCAGAAGAGTGGCTGCCAACTACAGCTGGGATGGAGCCCCCACTCTAGAAAAAGGCGGCTCCCGAGTTCCTGGGGAGAACTCCCAGAGGCCAGGCTTGGGCCAGGGGCCCGTTTCAGGGTCAGATGGGCACAGTCAGGCATCCTGCAGATGAAAGGCAGCTCCTCCCACCACCATGTAGAGGGCTGTTGGGTAGACAGTGTCACAGCCATCTGCCTTACACACCTTCTTAAAACAGTCGTAGGAGGACAGATCATAGCAATCACAGCCGACGTTATTGGGTGCTCACTCTTACCAAGTTCCAGCTGCTGTGCTGGACATTTTGCTGTGGGTGATCTCATTTAACTCTCACACAGCCATGTGCGGTAGGTACTATTATTGTTATTGCCATCTGATAAAGGAGAAAATTAAATCATATAGAGCTCAAGGAAACTACCCAAGGAAATAACACAACTAACTGGTGATGGAGCCAGAGCTTTGAACCTCTACAGTCCACTCAGGGTTCATGCTGGTAACTACCATGACTCAGTGAGCACCCATGGGAGTTGTTGGAAATGGGTTTTTAACGCCGGGAAAATCCACACCAAGACACTGGATCACTCAGCAAGGCTAGTTTACTTCCTGCAGGAAGGGTGCAACTCGCTGGCAGTCTTGCTGCAAGAACACACCTGAACAAGGGAGATGGGAACATTTATAATTTTC